CGCCCGCAGAGGGTGGTCAATCTTGAGTTCCGACTTGACGGAACGACTTGGTTTTTTTCGGACCATTGGGTAGGGTTTGCTGAACATTTCAGCATGAGGAAAGAATTTAGTAGCTGCACCGAAGTTTCACCAGACTGGGAGCACTTCAGATGACGGTTTCCTTATCGGTTTCCGAGGTAGGCTTGTCATTATCCCCACCCAAGACACCTGTGCATATTGCTAAATTTTGGAAAAATATCTTTCATTTCCAAACCATGGTGTATTCTTTTAGCTATGTGTGTCATTGGACCGGTTACAGTTGGTGTGACAACGTCGCTGGTATTGGCGTACACTCTTTCTGCATCTGATAAAGAGATTAGCCCATGGCATTGCATGGTTGCTAGGAGTATTTCAAAGTATAATGTTGATTATTGTGTCTTTTAGCCGTTTATTAGGGACATTATAGCCTGAAGTATAGAAATGGCTTGGACTTAGGTCATTAGTCGTTCATATTAAGTGTAATCAGCTAGCTTTGTAAGTTTTCACCAAATGTTCGTGTTAGCATAATCCGGTCACCCAAATAGCGTTTAAATGTGTATCCTCAATCCAACGTTACTCAGTTGGAATCTTTCTGGATCTGAACGCTAAACTTTTGAACGATAGTTCTCATCTTATATGACTTGATATGAATCCTGAGCTCACTAGAGGTTCACTTATGTTCGAACGAATAGTCACTGTTTTTGAGTCTGTAACTGGTATCACATAATGTTTTCTAGTCGTGGTATACACTGTTTTCCACCGAACCGACGGGCGTGTCAATGTGACATGAATTTCGGCGCGGCGGCAGTTCATTTTCCAGTTGTCATTGCCATATGAGGCGGAAACGAGTGGTGGAAAATGATCTGGCGCCGCTCCCGTCGGCTCGATTGTTGAGAACTAGATTGTCTGTCTTTTGTTTCGTAATATTGACAATGACAAATTTCAACATCGTTGAAACAACAAGTCTTTGTTTAATTTGTATAGAGATAGTACGGGTATTTTACGCGAAGCTTACACATCTGTTTATTGTTGTATATTGGAGTAAACTATTAAGCAGTTCTTTAGGCTCTGTCCTTGAACTAACCTATTTCTAACTTGGTTCGGGATTCGCCACCCGTGACAACCAGGAAGTGCCACTTGCATTTTTTGCTAGTATGAACAGAAGTGTTATAGAAATCACACCAATCAATCTTTCTACAAGTTTGGCTGGTTTGCAGTGTCGCGTGCACCAAACGGGCAACGCTGTGAAGCTCACCAGCGACAAGTTACCTTCACTCCGGACGGGCCTTCTCCCGCTTTTGATTTAATTGCAACCTGGTACCCGTGTTGAGACGTAATTGAAACGAGTTGACGGGTGTGTTCTTCGGCTCATCAGAAGCGAACACGAACCAGCATTAAAGTAAAGAGAAAAATAGGTAAAGCGAACAGAAATAAAGAATGAATGGAAAAAAAAAGAAAAGAAGAAAAAAAAAATGAAGCAGAATAAATTAGACATAATGATAAACAAACATAAACTACACTGCTATTAAGAGGGAGTGCAGCATAATTCGGCCATAGATAGAGATAGATAGTTTTTTTCGGTGGATAATATATTGAAGATAGTATAGATATAGAGATATAGATGAGAGCAGTTGCGGGAATAAATATGTACGAGAAATATTCACAAAAGCAGGATGGTCAATACTTTATGATATGAAAGTACGCATTTATGCCCCTCTCCATCCTTAGGATAGGAGTGTAACGGTCTCAGGTTGCCCAGTTGCACAGACGACGGAAAGGCGCAGAGATTGCTCTGCGAGAGTTAACCATGGCAACCCTGACCGTCTGCGCTCTCACATCAGTCTAAGCCTTGGCTGGGGAAAGAGGCTGGCGAATGGCATAAAAAAACCTCGGCTGTGGTACCGTAAATGCTCAAAATACAGACAGACGCTCGCGCGATCTAAGCATTTGGATCGCGAAGTATGAACGCACTCTAATAGTAGTAATTGACCAATATGTTCCCATAGCCGTACCCCATTGGGAGGGGAAGCACCACTATAGCACACATTGTCCCGTGATCAAGTCTCTACCATACCTCAATTTCACCAGTCGAGCCTTCCAACTCTTGCTAGTTGGTTTATTCCAGGTCTGACCTGGGAGGATAAAATTACTAAGCCCGTGCAATCAATTGTACAACCCCTACGTGTACTGAAAAAGGCTCTTGTAGTAAAAGACGAGGCGCTAACTTATCTGTGGAAACGCTCAGCTGCTCCTCTGAACCACTTCTCAAGAGGGTTCAGATTAAATAGCTCCCTTTCGCCAACATTGGGCACCGAAGACACTACTCAAAAAGACATCAATGAATTCAATTCGTTTTTTGTCCTGCAGTCCTGCGAGCAGGACCGCCTTCTTGGCCCGACTTTACAGTCAACGCGCCCCAGTTCAACGTGCGCAGCGCAGGCGCTTGCAGAAGACCCCGAGACAATTTTTCGTCCCATTTTATTAGCTTGCGCTGCTATACATTGGTTTCTAGGTGGTATCCTTCAGCAGTCTATTGGCAGAAGGATATGTCTGATGGAGATAGGTTAGCTCCTCCAGTTACAAGGTCTCGTGGACCACCAACTGTGACCGGACTCTCTCCTACTGAAGGTAATCCTTTAATGATTTATGTTCTCTCTTGCTTTTTTTTCCTAGAACTGCATGAGTGTCATCGATTAATGGGAGTAAAAACATTCGAGACTAGAGGAAGCTTCCTTACCTAACTTCCTGACTCGTTTTAAACACCCTTTAGTCTTCCTATATGTTAGCCAGGGTGGTACAGTGGGTTTTGATTGTGTGACAAGGCCATTGAGTAGGAACTCCTTTATTTCTTGGTACACACGAGCAGAAGTTGGTTGGGGCTGCGTCCACGCCTGGAAGGCTCTGAATCTGGTTAAATTGCTCAAGCTTCTAACTGCGCTAGGCATTGCGCTGCATTGCTTCCTCCCCTCCCTACCAGCGCACGAGTGTCATTTCCTTGGAGGGAAAGCAGGACATGATCTCGGAAAACTGGGCAAAAGGGAGAAAATTCAGGAAGATGTAGTAGGCAAGGGTCGCACTGGCAGGGAGGAAAATTGGCGAGGCGGTCGCACTGTCATGCCACTGCACATATCATGTCCTGGAACGGAGATGCCAAGAGCTTCTCTATCAATGAAACTTGCCGTTATCTCCCTACTGGCCGTCGGGCTCCTTGTAAAGCTTGCGAGGAATCTGCACCAGGAAAGGGTCAACAAGGTCAGCCGGCATATGCAATGAGGATGCTCAGCATGTATCCACCTTAACACGGTGAAAACTCGAAGAACTATCTTCGAAATTGCGGAGACGATTCTTCTGAGCGAGTCCATGGAGGTTGTTTTCTTTACTGGTTTTCTGGCTTCGAGGCGCTAGGCACGATCAGCCTTGGCACCTGTAGCGCGAATCACAGCACTCTTCGCGCAAAATCTATCATATTCGTGTTCAAGGGTTCAAATAACCTCTAGGAACGTCACCTTAACGAAATCTGAGGTTCTGCACTACTTCAAAAAAATGGGTATGGATTGGTCGATAGCGACTTGAGAGCCAACAGCCATATACCGACTAGCATGACTGGTGATGACTGCGTCTGTCGTTGTACTGAAATGAATTCTTCAGTCAATGGTATTTTGCGACCTGGCTTACTTTTGTGTACCGCTCGTTGTCATCATTTTCTTGATTATCGGGCAGGAAAGTCCCATCCCGATACCATCGATGGTAGGTGTGGCTCAAACTGCTGGTGCTAGTATCCAGTGGGAATAAACTCACATTTTCCAAGTTAAGGTCCTGAAATATGATTCGGCTAGACACTAGTTCCTCGGGGAAGTAATTTAACCCGCTGAAACATGGAATATGATAAGCTATTTCATTGCAAAAACCTTGCTGACATGTTGCTATCGCGGGGGGGACAAGGCAATACGAGCACTTCTTTTTCAGGCCATTAATGAGTCGTTCGAAAAAAAAAAACTGACGTGGAAAATTTCCTTACAGGATAAGCTCAGCGAGCAGAATGATGAGGAGACTGTCGGGCCACAGTCTTGGACAAATGCAAAAAAGGACACCCTGCCGAGAACCGATCCTACGACGTCTCGCCTAGTAAATCCGCTCGCTATCCGTTGCGCTCTACTGCCACGTTTCAATGTGACTCCATTCTTGTATATGAAGACGCTTCCACGTTTCCTCGCGATAGCATGTGAGACAACCACGCGGGGATGAAACCCTCCATAACTCCGTTCAGAGAGTCGTTCCGCAAATTCTGAGGGTAGATTCGAGTTCACTGTCCCAAGACGCGTGCAACGTGTTGCGTTCATTGCGAAGATTGGCCGGCTGACCTGTGCTTCCTGGTCAGAGGTGCCGAAACAAGGCGTTCGGTATGAACAGTGGCTTGGTGGGACTTTTGGACTCTTGTGATACTTTTCTGTGGTAATACTCAATGTGGCGCTTCGAGGAAAACAGAGAGATGGAAATTTATGTGTGGTTAAGTAAAACTGCTAATGTGCGGAATGCTAAACCGGCGGAATCTCCGGAATTTCTGAAGGTAATACTTCACTTATTTTATATAATTTGTTATTTAGGACTCCGGCACTCATAACAATACGAGTGAGACCTAGGCACGGTATCAGAGATTGATTTGCTCATGCTTTTCATCTGCGGCACCGACTGCATGCACACAGCAAAGTCCATTTCACCTTTATTTTTCCGACTGAGTTCCTTCTAAAACACTCTTTTTCAGCCGCACGGTACAACTGGCTGTTGTCAGATGGAAGACGATAAGAAAATTATTGCTCGTTTTGGGGTTCAAAGCGAATCGTGGCTTAGGAGAAGTTAAAATAGCTACCAAATCTGGTGGACGAGGAATTTGCAATGTGAAATTCAGGTAGATCGTGTAACATTTATATCACGCCCTGTTATGATGTGTGATTAACAGGGTATTCATTGCTCAAATTGGACCACTAGAGGAATCAGCAGTATGGGTGGACGAGACACAGACGGTTCCAGGGCGAGAGGTTAGCATTCTTCCCCTTCCATTTCCAAGTTCTGTTTCTCTGTAAGTCCGCTTTTCTTCCACAGCTCTGGAGGTTATTACATTAACACGTCGGGTCTTACAACTTTGTCAATGATTCATGCGGACCTCTTTTTCTAGCTCAAGATGTACACTACTTTTTTAGGCTTCCAGGCATTTTGATAAAGGCGTTCATATTTTGCGAGTAAGTAAGTAGATTCTACCTATGCGTTGGCTCCTTTGTTTTAGACAGCTAATCGGCTTTTTGACCGACAAGCGGTGTTCCTTTTCTCGGAAACGCGGAGTTGGCCCCTTTCCTGACCCAGCGTTTGGTGGATGAAGGCACTCCTCCCTACACCACCTCGCCCGGTTCATGAATATGGTTTTTTAATTCAGAATTTCCACACATGAGGTGCACATCAATGCTCGGTTATTTTTCAGGCAGTGCGAACCGTTGCTCAAGCTTCAGAAGAGAGAGACGCTCTGGGACTCAAGCCTACCACAAAGAAAATGGATCCAGCCCTTCTGTCCAAACTTTTCCCCGATAGTTCTGGGAATATACGAATGGAAAGTTTCAACCCTCAGTGGTATTTGCTGGAGCATCATTCGGAAACATCGTAGGCATTCCTTCAAGAGCTTTGAATATTAATTTGTCAATCAACGTACAGCAAACTTGTTTTCCAGCATAGAAGAACTACGGGAGGCACTGAAAATGATGCAGCTTGCTAAAGCTGACGAAGCAAAGAAAAGCGAAAAGATGCACAAGGTAATTTCCTTTTAACTATTTTTTTCTTTGTTATTATAAACAAAACGAACAGCTAAACAGGCGTTACAGCTTGTTTTTATCACAGAAACTCTGAATTATGGGCCGATTATGGGCTTTGCCAGGACTCGAACCTGGGCTTTAGCAGATACCGGCGGTGCGAAGCGATTTTTCCTTTGCTCAGCATTCATGGAATGAGTTCCGCATCACAGAAAGCTGGGATGAAAAGCAGTCTCACCTAAGCAAACTTTGCGCCAGTTCGGCTCTGTGGGAGCACTAGTACCTAGCGGAGCTTCCACCTTGTGAAGATCTGGTCCCTAAAGTGGCTCACTTATACCACTTCGCAGCTTCACAGGAGTTTACGAATCCCATCAACCAACGAGAGACCTGTTGGTTGATATGAACTGGAAAGAGGAAGTAACAAAGCGGAAATTCCCCCCCCCCCTTGGTCGAACAGACTTGTTTTGATGTCCATTACGTTTTATCCATCGTGTGTTAATCTGTCTTTTGTTTATTTTGTCACTTTTTTCACAAAATTAACTGAATGGATATTATAGGCCAATCTTTACTCTCTCATCAACTGTGTTGATTCACTAGCTGTCCTGCATGGAGAACTCGAGCGCAGTAATAAAGCAGGAGAGTTTGCTGTCATCAAACAAATCGGGCAACCAAGTAATATTGTTTCATCTAGTATCTTTTACTGTTTTCGAAAATGTGAGTAAAGTGAGAAAATCGTCTTTGTTCAGATTTCTGAAGCTCGGTTGAAAGCAGAGAGCGTATTCAAGGATGTTTTGTCACGCAAGGATCGAGCCGATGCTACTAG